GTAGGTCATGATCCCATATATATTCATGATGTGCCTATATATGGTCATGATTTCATATACAGTCATGATGTGCCTATATATGGTCATGATCCCTTATATATAGTCATGATGTGCCTATTATATGGTCATGATCCCATATATATAGTCATGATGTGCCTATATATGGTCATGATCCCATATATAGTCATGATGTGCCTATGGTCATGATCCCATATATAGTCATGATGTGCCTATATATGGTCATGATCCTATATATATAGTCATGATGTGCCTATATATAGTCATGATGTGATATCATCATGACACTTATGTAAATTAACCCTTGTTATCTGTTTATATTTCAGTCGCTCAACTTTGAATTAAAACCTGAAGACCTGAAGCTGCTAATGGATCTTAACAGGGACTACCGAGTATGCGTAATGGAATGGTAGGTATTCCCTCACAGTATAACACTATGTTGATTGTTGATGGATATTGATAGACATTTTATGTGCAATAGGAGGGAACCAGTAGTTTGGTGGTTAAGATACCTGCCTTTGGTCCTGGGTTAATTCTTTTTCAATACCATAGTTTTTGTTTGTTTTTTTTTGACAACTTAAGACCTCATATAGCTTAATTATAGAGGTTTGAGTTTTGGTAAGTGATGATAAAATACAAACTTATACATTTGCCATACCAAGGATTTTTGAAAGTCTTCGATCATATTATGTTTCCAAACTCTTGTATCTGTAAAACTCTCTTAATATAAAAAAGTAACATATGACATTGTTTATAAATAATATATGTACCTGTTGCGTATAATCAGTTTTCTATATAATGGTTAATTTTGTTTACATTTTGTAAAAAAATTGAACTAAAATTATTTTTTAGCCCAATGTAAATCTTCAAATTTCCATGTTAAATTCAGTTGCTTCCAAAGTAAAATCCTGTCTAGGGTCTCAATATGTTTGTTTTTTTGGAACGAGTCTGTTGTATTCCTATATACTCATAATGTACCTATATAGGATCCTGATGTGATGTAATCTTGACCATATTTAAGCATGTCACATTTTTTTTTGGTCAAAATTTGTTAGTGCAGCCAGCATTTAAGAAACAAATGTAGCCAACGCTCTACAGTTTTTCAAGTTGATTATGCTATATGAGTAGAGAATTTACTTGTTGATTAACCAGTGTTTTTTATATGAACTTTCTTTCAGGACTTCTGATCACAAAGATCATCCATTTCCACTTGTGTCATAGGTCAGAGTGATGCAAGGGACTGTTTGAAAAACATAGTGTTGACAAGAATCCATTGATGCTGGTTTAAAAACAGGGGATTCAAATCTACTGGTGTTTTATATATAAAGATAATAATAGTAGACAATTACCAATAGGTCTCCTGAGTAAGGGTTATTGAAGGAGGCTGTTCTATACAATCAATTAATTTGTCAGTCAATCAATAAAATCAGTCAATCAATCAATCAGACAATCAATCAATCAATCAATCAATCAGACTATCAATCAATCAGACTATCAATTAATCAGTCAATTAATCAGTCAGTCAGTAAATCAGTGAGCTCTGAAGTAGAAACCTATTTTTGTTTACCAATGCCGTCAGTGGTGGGGATGGAATTACCATGGCAACTATAGTGGCAGAATACAAGGTGGTAATAAGCAGGCAAATCCTATTAATATGTGTAATTTATCAGAAAAATTATACTGTTTGACATCAGTACAATAATGCATAGGGAGTAATTCAGGCTATATGTAATTTAATGGTTAAATTAGACCAATAAAGTAAGCCCATAACAGATTTTGTAGTTTTTTTTTTTTTTTTTAATCAAACAAAGTGAACATATTTTTGTTAATACAGTAAATTATGAACTGCTGCATATTATGATTAAAACATCATTACTGTAACGAAATTCTGAGTTTTGGTGCATTTATTTCTCTGACCATTATGTTCTCTCTTCCTTGGTACTCAAACGCATTTTCAAGTGATTCTGTCCACGTTGCCAAGATTTTCTAACAGTTTGGGACTACTGAAATGTGCTCCCATTTCGGACCTATTTTTATGAGTGTTTTTTATTTTAATTGACATGACTTAACAAATTGTCTGCGAACGTGAAACTGTGTACTCAAGTTATAGTGAACGTAGAAAAATATACCAGTTTGCATTATCAGACATTTTTAAAACTGACAATGCTATTCAAACCCACTCACCCCCACCCTTGAGTGGGTTGAGAATTTTGTGAAAAAAAAACCCTACCTACAGTAGTTTAGTTGAGAATGCACTTGAAATAACCCTTGGTGAAGAATTATAAAATGTCATTGAACCGGCTGCATACAGTAGTAGGAGTTGATGATCATTTGGAGGTGGGAGGTACCACGAGATAACAGTTTCACCAATGTCCGAGTTTCTGTGTTATAGCGTAATATGCAATCCTAATGTGGGTTTTTCCTGTGCTATATAATAGGCTTAATAATCTGGTATGAAAACAGTATTTCATCTTTTAACCATTTCACATACAGCGTTGTAAAAATAAACATTCCCAATAGTTTTGTAATTGTACCTGATGAATGTAATCCATTTTCTTT